TCGATTATGGCATCGAGCCTGGTCCTTCGATCATGGACTCAAGCCTGGTCCTTCGATCAAGGCCTCGAGCCTGGGCCTTCGATCATGGCCTCAAGCCTGGTCCTTCGATTATGGCCTCGAGCCTGGGCCTTCGATCATGGCATCGAGGCTGGGCCTCGTCTCTGGCCTCGACCCTGGGATCGATATCTGGGCTCGATCTTGGGCTCGATCACAGCCCAGAATATCCAGCAGAAGAGAAAAAGATTGCAGCAGCTTTTTAAGTCCAATTTTTTATCCGTTAACCATCTGAAACTCACCCGAGGCACTCGGGACCTCAACCAAATATACCAACAAGTCCTAAAAACTCATACAAACTTATTTGAAACCTCAAATAACATTAAACGATGCTAAAATCGCAAATCATGCTCCAATTCAAGCTTAATGAATCTTAGCATTTCCAACTTCTACATTCGATATCGAAACTTATCAAATCAAGTCTAATTGACCTCAAATTTTGCACACAAGTCATAAATGACATAACGGAGCTATGAAAATTTTTGGAACTGGATTCCGACCCTAATATCAAAAAGTCAACTCCCCGGTCAAACTTCCAAACTTAAATTCCTATTTTAATCATTTCAAGCCAAATTTCACTACGGACTTCCAAATAAAATTTCGATCACGCTCCTAAGTCCAAAATCACCATATGGAACTGTTGGAATCATCAAAATTCTATTCCGGGGTCGTTTGCACATAATTCGACATCCGGTCACTATTTGAACTTAATCTTTTAATTTTTCATCAAAATTCCATATCTCGGACTAGGGACCTCGAAATTTGATTCCGGGCATACGCCTAAGTCCCAAATCACGATACGGACCTACCGAAACTGTCAAAACACTGATCTGAGTACGTTTGCTCAAAATGTTGACCAAAGTCAACTCAGTTGAGTTTTAAAGCTCTAATTCACATTTTAATCCACTTTTCACATAAAAACTCTTCGGAAAATTTTACAGACTGCGCACGCAAGTCGAGTAATGATAAATAGTATTTTTCGGGGTCTTAGAATACATAATTAATTATTAACTTTAAAGATGACATTTTGGGTCATCACACAATCGATCGGTTATTCTAGCGCCAAAATCCGAGAAATCAAATTTTGATATACTTTCAAAGAAACCGACCGCCGCCGGTCGGTTAGCTGGTCAGGACTTTGACCAAGATGATCAAACTTTAATTTTGCATAGATGGTCAAACTTGTATTATTACTTTTTTTTATAACTGTGGTGTTTGGTAGGGGTGTCAATAGATATTTAAAAATCGACTAAATTAACTAAACTGTACCGTATTAAACTGATTTTTACGTTTCTTTTAATAAAATCGTAGGTTTTTATATAATTTTATAACCGTACCGATAATTAGGGTAGATTTTTTATTTTACAAAAATAAACCGAAAATTACTGAACCGTACCTAATAAATTTACATGTGAAAAATATATCTATATATTAAGTTTAAAAATAATAAAATATAATTTTTTTCCTTGGGCGTTGGAATTATGAAAACAATTACAAGCCACAAGTAATTAAACTCAAAATCCTAATTCTCAAACCTATTATGCTACTCCTATTAAAATTAAATTATTTCCAGCATATTCACTAGTAAAATATAAGATATTCTAGCGATTGTGAGTAACAAACTACAATATGTTGAATATGTTTCCTTTCATATGATTTAGATTTATCTTTTTGGATATTAATCTTGTATAAACTTTATTCTTGAGTCCCAACTTTGTTAATATCTTTTCACTTTGTTAATATATATATATATATATATATATTGTATTTGCTTAATTTCTTTTACGTTGTTGTAGAATAGTTAATGGATCTATACTCTCATCATCTTTCATGTTTTCTTAATCTATCACTTTTTAAACAGTAAAAATATTTAGAGAGTTTTGCTAAGTCCTATAAAAGTACGTGTTTTATTGCATTCTACTTCTAATATTGACTTGTATATGGCATTTAAAAAAATACCAAAAATAAACTAAACCGTACCAATACCGAAGAGAAACTGGGACGGTTTCGAAAAATCTAATTTTGGTTATACATAATAGAATAGCCGAAAAATTGATATGGTACAAAATTTATAAAATAACCGGCCGAACCAAACCATTGACGCCCCTAGTGTTCGGGTCAGCTTACTTGTACCTCGATTAACTTCGATATGTTATCTCTCAGGGAAACGTACTTGATCTTCTCCTTCAACATTATTTACGAACACTAGTAAAGTCCAAGTTAAAAAAAAAACAAACAAATATGCAGTCTTGATTTAATAAGCCTAACTATCAAATTTAATTTCTTTTATCTAATTTTGGTAAAGATCTTGTCGTGCGACACCAACCTATGACTTCTATGACCCAATAGATTTTTACGTTTTAACTAATTCTTAATCTACAGCAATAGGTTCTTTGGATTTGAAACATAACGAGATAGTCACTTCTTCTTACGACAAGAGCTTTAGCTAATAATAGAAATTTGATGGCATTAGTTAATTAAAAAACAAAATAATATTTCAAGTAAATTATTCGTATGTCGAGTACACATCTGAATCATTTCAACTTGTTTTCTTCCTTTCTTTTTTCGAGATGTATATGTATATCATTTCTCTCTTTGTTTAGCGTAATTGTTTCACCATTTTTGATGAGCATTTAAGATTAACAAAGATTAGAAGTTCCCTTCAATTTGTGATAGAGGAAAATACATGGTATGTAATCATAACAACAAACTTTGGTTTTTTGGATAAAAGTACATCGTTAATGTTAAGCAAAAACCATAAAAAATGATGTTTCCTTGAAAATTGAGAATATAACAAACTCAAAGAAAAAGACTTATAATGTAAGCATGTCAAATTACTTACTGCAGTTAGAGATAGGCTAAGTGGGTGAACCAACTGCTTTACAAGGTTGAACTAAGAGTTGCCTCCGACAACTTCTCTCCCTATAAAAGCATAGCCTCAACTCTCCAATCTTTCACAAACAAACACTGACTTGCATCTACCAATACTCGACCGCGAGTTTTAAGAAAAGGAAAACAATGGAGGCCTTCAACAGCATTGCCAACCCTTTGAGTTCTTTCTTCTTTATGTGCATTTTGCTTCTCTTGGCAAATGCAGCATCTGCGAAAACTCACCACCATGATTTTGTTGTAAGCTATCCAAGATTTCCATTCATTAAATTTGCTAACATTTCGTAAATGTTACAAACTCTACGATACTGACCTCTGTTTTTTCGTAACAGATTCAAGCAACACCAGTGAAGAGGCTGTGCATGACTCACAACACCATAACGGTGAATGGACAATTCCCTGGACCAACATTAGAAGTAAACAATGGTGATACTCTGGTCGTCAAGGTTGTCAATAAAGCTCAATACAATGTCACCATTCACTGGTATGTCCATGCATGCAATGCAGAATGAATTACGCATGATTATATTTCATATCAGTAATGACTATTTACTTTTTTTTCAATTTTTATACTACTTTGTTATGTTCCAAAAGGCATGGGGTAAGGCAGATTAGGACAGGATGGGCAGATGGACCAGAATTTATCACTCAGTGCCCAATTAGACCAGGAAAGAGTTACACTTACCGGTTTACCATTCAAGGACAGGAAGGGACTCTTTGGTGGCACGCTCACAGCTCGTGGCTCAGGGCCACTGTTTATGGAGCTCTAATTATCCACCCCAAAGAAGGAGACTCATATCCATTTCCTAAGCCCAAAAGAGAAACGCCAATTCTTCTAGGTACTACTTCCTTCTCTAATTACCAGAAGCTTTAATCATTTTTTAAATGAATACTACTTACTATAAGAGTTACGCAGTTTCTCCAATCTACCCCCTGAAACATTGATCATAAACTGTTGTCCCTAAGAAAATTCCTTGAAATGAAAGTTTGTAAATGCTGATTAGGTGAGTGGTGGGATGCAAACCCTATTGACGTTATAAGACGAGCTACAAGAACAGGAGCACCTCCTAATGTATCTGATGCATACACCATTAATGGTCAACCAGGTGACCTCTACAAGTGTTCCAGTCAAGGTTAGTTCTGATCCCCAGAATGTCTGTAATAGTTGTAAGAAAGACGTGCCTCAGAAATTAAGAAGACCAACATAGGTGAAATCTAGATTTTTTTTATACATAAAGTCAAGAGTACTCTAGAAATTCCCCCCTAACAAAGTTAAAGCATTATGTTTAAATACTCCAGATAGTGTTCCAATACTCTTAGAACATGAAATGATCAAGCAATTTATACACAGTATAAACACCAATTTATAACGTTTACGAAATGATTATTTACCTGATGTGATCAGGGCATGGGCATGTTTTCATAGAAATCACATTTATGCAGATACTACCATCGTCCCTGTGGACTCGGGTGAAACCAACCTCCTCCGAGTTATCAACGCTGCACTCAACCAACAACTTTTCTTTTCCGTCGCCAACCACAAACTTACTGTTGTTGGAGCAGATGCCTCTTATGTTAAACCCTTCACAACATCAGTCCTTATGCTCGGACCAGGCCAGACAACTGACGTCCTAATCACAACTGATCAGCCACGAGCCAAATATTACATGGCAGCACGTGCCTATGCTAGCGCTCAAGGCGCCCCCTTTGATAATACCACAACCACTGCCATCCTTGAGTACAAGACAGCTTCTTGTTCTTCTAATTGTGTCAAGACCAATCCAGTTTTCCCATCTCTACCAGCATATAATGACACGGCCACTGCTACAGCCTTCACAACCAAATTCAGAAGCCCGAGAAAGGTCGAGGTGCCCACTGAAATTGACGAAAATCTATTCTTCACAGTTGGGCTGGGACTGAACAACTGCCCAAGAGGTGCAAGCTCGAGTAATTGTCAAGGTCCAAATGGCACTCGATTCGCTGCCAGTATGAACAATGTATCTTTTGTGCTACCATCCAACTTTTCCCTGCTACAAGCACATCACCAAGGAATACCTGGTGTCTTCTCAACTGATTTCCCAGCAAACCCTCCTGTAAAATTTGATTACACGGGTAACGTAAGCCGATCACTCTGGCAACCCGTTCCAGGAACAAAGCTGTACAAACTGAAATATGGCGCAAGAGTGCAGGTTGTGTTACAGGGGACAAGCATATTTACAGCTGAGAACCACCCAATTCATCTCCACGGATATGATTTTTACATCATTGCGGAGGGTTTCGGTAACTTTAATCCCAAAAGAGATACAGCTAAATTCAACCTTATTGATCCACCTCTCAGAAATACGGCCAGTGTACCCGTCAATGGATGGGCAGTCATCAGATTTGTCGCTGACAATCCAGGTAAGAGAATAGATAGAGGGAAACAAGTACTCACATCTCCAAATATTCCCAACTTTTTTCTATACCATGTCATATTTCAATGCTACAAATTAACTCATATTATTGACTTAACCAGGAGTGTGGCTAATGCATTGTCACTTGGATGTTCACATTGGCTGGGGTTTGGCGATGGCGTTCCTTGTGGAAAACGGAGTTAGTGAATTGGAATCATTGGAGGCTCCTCCAGTAGATCTGCCTGTCTGTTGATGACTGCAACAAGCTACATAATGCAAAATTCAGAGCCCTGCAGAAATCATTTAATTGTTCCCCGCATTTGGGGCTAGTTCTTTTATCGCTCTACTGCATTTGCCCCCCC